CTAACAGAAGTGTTTTTTATTGTTTGCGATCTCAACCGCACTAGAGACTATGACCTGAGGGTGGATGCGCCGCATGTCACCCAAAGGGTACCATACTAAACATTCATCCTCAGATGGCTTAAGGCTCGTAGCGTACGAAAGAAATCATTCATGATTACTGTGTTTTAAACTGCTTCAAGATGAGAAGAGAACAGGCCCAACTAGGAGGGAGACTATCAAGTCCTACTGTTATCATGCCATGGATTCATCCTATGGTTGAGATTTGAACAGGGAATTCCTAGATGTTGTCATGCATAGGTTTCAACCTAAAAGTCTATCATCAAATTCTCGTCAGAGGAAATGAGAGTCCTAAGGGATCATGTCAATGATACACCAAAACAGACAAAAGCATCAGCTTTAACAGTAAAATGCATGCAATGCAAGTGAGGGAGGAAATGTGTGTGGGGCTTCAGCCTCCACAAGCTCGTCTCGACCTCAAGCCAGTCATGAAATAACAGTAATCATACTGAAAAATAAACAACATGCTATCAAGCAATGAACAAATAGGAGAAGGGAAGTGCCATCAGACAACCAAACACACATGCTTGAGAAAGAAAGAATCTACTCTCTTATCCTAACCCTAACACAGGATCTGAATCAAATCTAAGCAAAGCCCTAAAGCAAAACCCTAAACAAGAGAAATCAATCCCAGCCTTCAAGCTTCAGAACAAGCTTACCAAAGAAAGGGAGCTAAGCAAGCAGACTCATAGTGTCTTCCTCAGGAAAGCACTAGGAGGTGTATACTCAGGAGTCATACCCTATGTGGCTCAACCACTGTGATCAGTTTATATTCCTCCTCAGGAGAAATTAAACTCACAAGCAGGCTCCAACATCACTGGATATTTAGGAAATCCTATCTGAACTAGTGGAACTAAGTGAATAGACCCATAGGACCTTCCTCAGGAAAGTACTAGGAGGCTTCCACTTAGGAATTGTATCCCATGTGGCTCAACAACCTGTGATCAGTCTACATTCCTCCTCAGGAGAAATTAAACTCACAAGTTGGCTCCAACATCATTGGATACTTGAGAAATCCTAGATAAACTAAGGGAACTAAGTGAATAGACCCATAGGACCTTCCTCAGGAAAGTACTAGGAGGCTTCCACTTAGGAGTTGTATCCCATGTGGCTCAACAACCTGTGATCAGTCTACATTCCTCCTCAGGAGAAATTAAACTCACAAGTTGGCTCCAACATCATTGGATACTTAAGAAAGAGGTGAGAAGAAAGAATGAAAGTCATTCATAGTGCCTTCCTCAGGAAAGTACCATGAACTCCCTTCAAACTTCAGGATCTCAAACCTCACAGACAGGGAAAAAGCCAAGCTCTGGGTCTCTGAGTCTTGATCTACAATCTTCTCTTCATGATGCTCTCCAACAAGGTCTTCAAGACAACACAAGCCCCACAACAAACTCCCCAAAATAAACCCCAGAGATGAACAGATAACCACAGGGCAGACAAAATCAATAGGCACCTTCAGAAAATACCTAAAAATACTAAACCAAGGGGAAAAATCTAACAATTATTCACAAGGGTCTACTACATCTATCCCTAACATCCACATAGGCCTCTACCCTAAAATCAAGACAAAACTATCTAAAGAAAGTGAATTCTTCACCTAAGCACAACCTAAACCCTAATTAGGATACCCTAAATCTACCCTAATTAAACTAATCAAAATTTAATTCTAAAATTCTAGAATAAATCCTATGGGGAACTATGATTCATCATCTAATTGCACAAAAAAGAATGGATTAAAAAGACTAAAGGAAGGTCCTAAAACAATTCTTGCAAAATCATGTATCAACTAAAAGAAAAAAAATATACTATATTAAAGAAAATACCACTAAAAATTCTACATTAAAAATAAAATTCCATTTTTCTTTTAATATTTTTCTTGTCTTTAAAAATTCATTAAAAATTGATAAATGATGATTTTTTGGTCATTCTTTTTTCTATGATTAGATAATTTTGTGTAGAAAAATATAAAAATAAAAATGGAATTTTATTTTTAATGTAGAATTTTTAGTGGTATTTTCTTTAATATAGTATATTTTTTTTCTTTTAGTTGATACATGATTTTGCAAGAATTGTTTTAGGACCTTCCTTTAGTCTTTTTAATCCATTCTTTTTTGTGCAATTAGATGATGAATCATAGTTCCCCATAGGATTTATTCTAGAATTTTAGAATTAAATTTTGATTAGTTTAATTAGGGTAGATTTAGGGTATCCTAATTAGGGTTTAGGTTGTGCTTAGGTGAAGAATTCACTTTCTTTAGATAGGTTTGTCTTGATTTTAGGGTAGAGGCCTATGTGGATGTTAGGGATAGATGTAGTAGACCCTTGTGAATAATTGTTAGATTTTTCCCCCTTGGTTTAGTATTTTTAGGTATTTTCTGAAGGTGCCTATTGATTTTGTCTGCCCTGTGGTTATCTGTTCATCTCTGGGGTTTATTTTGGGGAGTTTGTTGTGGGGCTTGTGTTGTCTTGAAGATCTTGTTGGAGAGCATCATGAAGAGAAGATTGTAGATCAAGACTCAGAGACCCAGAGCTTGGCTTTTTCCCTGTCTGTGAGGTTTGAGATCCTGAAGTTTGAAGGGAGTTCATGGTACTTTCCTGAGGAAGGCACTATGAATGACTTTCATTCTTTCTTCTCACCTCTTTCTTAAGTATCCAATGATGTTGGAGCCAACTTGTGAGTTTAATTTCTCCTGAGGAGGAATGTAGACTGATCACAGGTTGTTGAGCCACATGGGATACAACTCCTAAGTGGAAGCCTCCTAGTACTTTCCTGAGGAAGGTCCTATGGGTCTATTCACTTAGTTCCCTTAGTTTATCTAGGATTTCTCAAGTATCCAATGATGTTGGAGCCAACTTGTGAGTTTAATTTCTCCTGAGGAGGAATGTAGACTGATCACAGGTTGTTGAGCCACATGGGATACAATTCCTAAGTGGAAGCCTCCTAGTACTTTCCTGAGGAAGGTCCTATGGGTCTATTCACTTAGTTCCACTAGTTCAGATAGGATTTCCTAAATATCCAGTGATGTTGGAGCCTGCTTGTGAGTTTAATTTCTCCTGAGGAGGAATATAAACTGATCACAGTGGTTGAGCCACATAGGGTATGACTCCTGAGTATACACCTCCTAGTGCTTTCCTGAGGAAGACACTATGAGTCTGCTTGCTTAGCTCCCTTTCTTTGGTAAGCTTGTTCTGAAGCTTGAAGGCTGGGATTGATTTCTCTTGTTTAGGGTTTTGCTTTAGGGCTTTGCTTAGATTTGATTCAGATCCTGTGTTAGGGTTAGGATAAGAGAGTAGATTCTTTCTTTCTCAAGCATGTGTGTTTGGTTGTCTGATGGCACTTCCCTTCTCCTATTTGTTCATTGCTTGATAGCATGTTGTTTATTTTTCAGTATGATTACTGTTATTTCATGACTGGCTTGAGGTCGAGACGAGCTTGTGGAGGCTGAAGCCCCACACACATTTCCTCCCTCACTTGCATTGCATGCATTTTACTGTTAAAGCTGATGCTTTTGTCTGTTTTGGTGTATCATTGACATGATCCCTTAGGACTCTCATTTCCTCTGACGAGAATTTGATGATAGACTTTTAGGTTGAAACCTATGCATGACAACATCTAGGAATTCCCTGTTCAAATCTCAACCATAGGATGAATCCATGGCATGATAACAGTAGGACTTGATAGTCTCCCTCCTAGTTGGGCCTGTTCTCTTCTCATCTTGAAGCAGTTTAAAACACAGTAATCATGAATGATTTCTTTCGTACGCTACGAGCCTTAAGCCATCTGAGGATGAATGTTTAGTATGGTACCCTTTGGGTGACATGCGGCGCATCCACCCTCAGGTCATAGTCTCTAGTGCGGTTGAGATCGCAAACAATAAAAAACACTTCTGTTAGGAGATAACTCGTAGTTTCCCGAACTACGTTTGCTCTGATCTTTCATACCGGATGAAAGTACGTAGGCATAGGATGCGATATCCTAGCGAGCAACCTTCAACCTTCCCCCCGTAGTTAGCCGAACTACGTTGACTCTGATTTCTCGTTCCAGACGGGAATACGTAGGCATAAAGTGCGACGCTTTGCCGAGTCATTTTTCATTTTTCTTTTCTTTTTCAGCCAGCCTTGATAGGTAGATAGATTATAACCAACCCGTCCAAGTAAACAAACAAGCGAGGATCCCGTCGAGTACGACGGACGTGAGGGGTGCTAATACCTTCCCCTTGCGTAACCGACTCCCGAACCCAGACAACGGTTGCGATGACCTTGTCTTACCCTTATTCGTCAGGTTTTTCCGATCGTTTCCTTTCCCGCTCTGAGGGATAAATAACGAAAGGTGGCGACTCTTCTGTTTTGCCGGCACCTTATTTTCGCGCAAGCGACAGCATGGAACAAGATGTTCTCATTTGTTAATAAACTCGCCTCATTTCCACTGAAAACATGATAGATTAAAAAAAGGAAACAAACCTTTTCTCCCATGGCATCTTGAATGAGAATTGTGTCACCAGACATTCTACCAATTACCTCTCCTGTGTTTGTTTCGGTGTCAAAGAACACGATATCTTGTTTCAATATCATTTTCAAGTACATACTATGAATCCTCATGGCTTGTCTTTGTCCTGTCACCATCCAACACGATACCTCTACAACATGCAACAAGATGTTTTCATTTGTTAATACACTCACCTCATTTCCACTAAAAACATGATAGATTAAAAAAAGGAACCAAACATTATCTCCCATGGCATCTTGAATGAGAATTGTGTCACCAGATATTCTACCAATTACCTCTCCTGTGTTCGTTTCGGTGTCAAAGAACGCGATATCTTGTTTCAATATCATTTTCAAGTACGAACTATGAATCCTCGTGGCTTGTCTTTCTCCTGTCACCATCCAACACGATACCTTTACAGCATGCAAATAGATGTTCTCATTTGTTAATAGACTCACCTCATTTCCCTGAAAAGATGATAGATTAAAAAAAGGAACCAAACCTTTTCTCCCATGGCATCTTGAATGAGAATTGTGTCACCATACATTCTACCAATTACCTCTCCTGTGTTCGTTTCGGTGTCAAGGAACGCGATATCTTGTTTCAATATCATTTTCAAGTACGAACTATGAATCCTCGTGGCTTGTCTTTCTCCTGTCACCATCCAACACGATACCTCTACAACATACAAATAGATGTTCTCATTTGTTAATAGACTCACCTCATTTCCACTGAAAACATGATAGATTAAAAAAAGGAACCAAACCTTTTCTCCCATGGCATCTTGAATGAGAATTGTGTTACCAGACATTCTACCAATTACCTCTCCTGTGTTCGTTTCGGTGTCAAAGAACGCGATATCTTGTTTCAATATCATTTTTAAGTACAAACTATGAATCCTCGTGGCTTGTCTTTCTCCTGTCACCATCCAACACGATACCTCTACAGCATGCAACAAAAATTAAAAAACTATATCATCAAAACGAATTCAAGGACTACTCTCCAACAAAATTAAATAAGCAACAAAGTGCGGTGTAGAAACGATGCTATTCCAGCCCAAGCAGCCAGGTAAACAAATAAGAAAGATACCTGAAATATGAATTGTGTTAAACTATGCTATGCCATAATCCATTTTGGTAACAAATATCTGAATTTTTTTGTTCTAAACCTTAGAGTTTTTTCGAACCGAAGTTCATTGATTACAGAGTATGCAATTTCAACTTGTATTAAATGAATATATAATTAGTTAAGTGAAAATTCCACATAAAAAGAAAGTGGGGGAAGCTACTAGTTATATATTCACCATGCATGTATCTGTTTGGAAACAACATAAAATGTAACTATTCTTTTATGATTCTTATTAGTAATAATTCATATTTTATTATATTACTTTTTTAAGCCCATAAGTTTGTTAGAGGGTATTTTAGTATTTATCTTATTCTAATAACCCTAGTTTTAGCTTATAAATAGGGTGACAATCATTGTAACCAAATATTATGTTTTTCTGCCGTCATTCTTAATAGAATATTTCCCTATTTCATCATTTATTCTATCTTTGCACCAACAATTGGTATCTAGAGCTCCGGTTCAGATTCATTGGGAAACACGGGAAACACGAGTGAACGTGAGGTCTTGTGTGTTTGATTTTGATTCTTAGATTCGTGTTGAATCTTGAACAAAATCTGATCAGAATTTTATTCTGTGGGTTGGGAAACACTGTGTGAGAAATCTGAGTGTATTGTGCAAAGTAGAAGATGAACGGAAACGGCAACATGAACACCAAACTTCCAGTATTTGATGGTAAAAACTGGAATCGTTGGATGATCCAAATGCGCGTACTATTTGGTGCTCAAGATGTTCTAGATCTTGTCACTGATGGTTATGTTCCAGTAGCAGCAGATGCAACTGATGAACAGAAAAACGCGCAGAAGGAAGTAAGGAAGAAGGATCAGAAAGCATTGTTCTTCATTCATCAATGTGTGGATGTAAACGTGTTTGAGAAGATTGCAGACTCTACAACAGCAAAGGCTGCATGGGACACTCTGGTGAGATGTTATGGTGGTGACGCATCAATGAAGAAGGTGAAGCTTCAGTCCTTGAGAAAGCAATATGAGAATCTCAACATGAAGAATAATGAGAAAGTTTCTGAATACATCTCCAGAGTGATTCTGATCACTAATGAGATGAAGGCATGTGGAGAAACTCTTTCTGAAGAAACAATCATGGAGAAAGTATTGAGATCCCTTACCTCTCAATTTGATTACATTGTGGTAGCAATAGAACATTCCAAAGATCTGAGTACCATGAGAATTGAAGAGCTGCAGAGCAGTTTAGAAGCGCAAGAGTTGCGTTTGACTGAGAGAACTTCTGAAAGGGAAGTAGAGCAGCAGGCTTTGAAAGCAACTTCTGATAGGAGGTATCAGAAGCAGTCAGAAGCCAAGAGAAGATCTGATGGTGGTCAGAAGTCAGAAAGCTCAACCTCTGATAGACAAAAGAATGCTCAGAAGGGAAAAGAGAAGTATGACAAGAAGAAGATCCAATGTTACTGTTGTAAGAAGTTTGGTCACTTTGCTAGAGATTGTTGGTCAAACAAGGAGAAGAAATCAGAAGAAGCAAATATAGCCAGAAGTTCTGATGACGAATCTGTGCTATTGATGGCCTCTGAATCTGATGATCTGACAGACTGGTGGTATATGGACACTGGCTGTTCAAATCATCTTACTGGAAACAAGAAATGGCTGGTTGACTTTGACTCTGAAAAGAGGACAAAGATCAGATGTGCTGATGACAAATATCTTAATGCAGAAGGTATGGGAAATGTCAGAGTGACTCTGAACAATGGGAAAACAGCATTGATTCAGTGTGGTATGTACCTGGCATCAGAAGCAATTTGATGAGTGTGGGACAATTAATTGAGAAAGGTTTTTCAGTTACCATGAAGGATAATCTTCTGAAGTTGTATGAATGCAATCAGAAGTTGATTATGGAGTCAGAACAAGGAAGGAATAGAACATTCAAGGTGAATGTCAGAACTGCAGACTCAGAGTGTCTTAGTGCAACAAGTACTGAGAAGGAGAGTGAGCTGTGGCACAGAAGATTTGGTCATTTGAATTTCAGAAGCTTACAACATCTGAATTCAAAGAAATTGGTACATGGAATTCCTGCAATTAAGAAGCCTGAAAAGTCATGCAAAGTTTGCATGGAAGGAAAACAACCAAGATTGCCATTTGCATCAGAAGTTGCTCCAAGAGCAAAACATGCCTTGGGAGTTGTACACTCTGATGTGTGTGGTCCATTTCCAGTAGCATCAATTGGAGGGAATAAATACTTTGTGTTGTTTGTTGATGAATTCACAAGAATGACATGGGTATCCCTTATTAAGTTCAAACACGAGGTGTTTGATGAATTCAAGAAGTTCAGAATGAAGGCTGAGAATCAGAGTGGTCAGAAGTTGAAGATTCTTAGAACTGATGGTGGAGGTGAGTATAACTCCAAAGAGTTCCAGAAGTTCTGTGAGGAGAATGGAATCGAGCATAAGGTTACTGCTCCCTATACCCCTCAACATAATGGTCTTGCTGAAAGAAGAAACCGCACTCTGCTTGATATGGTGAGAAGCATGCTAAAAGAGAAGAAGCTTCCTCAGAAGCTCTGGGGAGAAGCTGTTGCCACTGCAACGTATGTACTCAACAGATGTCCTACGAAGAAGTTGAAGGAAATAGTTCCTATGCAGAAGTGGACTGGAGACAAGCAAAGTGTTAGTCATCTGAAGGTGTTTGGTTCTGTTTGCTATAAACATGTTCCAGAAGCCAGAAGACAGAAGCTGGATGATAAAAGCAAAGTGATGATTCTGATAGGGTACCACAGTACAGGTGCATACAAGCTCTATTGTCCAGAAACCAATAAAATTGAATTCAGCAGAGATGTGATTGTGAAGGAATCAGAAGTTTGGAATTGGGATAAGTCTCAATCTGATTCTGATGTTAGAACCTCTGAAGAAAGGTCAGAGTTAAGAATTTCTGAAGTTGGAGTAAACCCTGACGTTGACTCTGACTCTGATACTGATTCAAACTCTGAAGATGACTCAGAAGATGAAGGTGACTCTGATGACCCAGACTCTGATAATTCAGACTCTGATCACAATCCAGATCTTGGTGGCAGTTCAGACTCTGAAGATGGCCAAGACTCTGAAAATATGCCAGATCTTGAAGATGGTCAAAGCTCTAGAGGAAGTCAACCATCTGAAGCTGGAAACTCTGAAGCTCAAGACTCTGAACAAGTTCAGAGACCATAAAGAATCAGAAGCGTTCCCAGAAGATTTGCAGAATTTGACATGCTGCAAGACACTGAAGTAGACTCTGAAGGAGAAGTTATTCAGTGTGCCATGTTAGTAGACTCTGAACCTATAAGTACAGAGGAGGCTCTTAAGCAGAAGCTTTGGCTGAAGGCAATGAAAGAAGAACTTGATGCTATAGAGAGAAACAAGACTTGGAAGCTGACAGAACTTCCAAAAGACAAGAAAGCCATCAGCGTCAGATGGGTTTTCAAGCAGAAGTTAAAGCCAGATGGCTCAATTGGCAAACATAAAGCAAGGTTGGTAGCCAGAGGATTTCTACAAAAACCTGGGCTGGATTACTCTGAAGTGTTTGCACCTGTAGCAAGACATAAAACAATCAGAATGGTGATTGCAATAGCTGCTAACAGGAATTGGCCTCTGATGCATCTAGATGTAAAATCTGCATTTCTGAACGGTCCATTAGAAGAAGAAGCTTACGTGTCACAACCTCCTGGATTTGTGAAAAAGAATCAGGAAGGGATGGTGTACAGATTATACAAAGCTCTATATGGATTGAAACAAGCGCCCAGAGCTTGGAATCAGAAGATTGATTCATTTTTCAAGAAGCAAGGCTTTCAGAAATGTGAGATGGAGTACGGTGTCTATGTTCAGCATACTTCTGAAGGCAATATGACTCTGGTATGTTTATATGTTGATGATATACTGCTGACTGGAAGTTCTGAACAGGAGATAGCCAAGTTCAAGAAAGTTCTGATGAATGAATTTGAAATGACTGATCTAGGAAAAATGACATACTTTCTAGGGATGGAGTTCAGATACTCTGAGAAAGGTATCATTTTGCATCAGCTCAAGTATGAATTAGAACTTCTGAAGAGATTTGATCTGAAGAATTGAAAGATGGCTGTCACACCTTCTGATACAAATCAGAAACTGGATTCAGACTCTGAAGGAAAGGATGTGGACGCTACAACCTTCAAACAGTTGGTTGGTTCTCTGAGGTATATGTGCAATACCAGACCTGATATCTGCTACTCAGTTGGGATGGTTAGTAGGTTCATGAGTAAACCTAAGTGGTCCCATTACCAAGCTGCTGTCAGGATTCTAAGGTATATCAAAGGAACTCTGAAGTATGGAGTGTTATTTCCCTCTGGAGGAAATAATGAGTCAGAACTTCTGAGTTATTCAAACTCTGATTGGTGTGGAGACAGAGTTGACAGAAGAAGTACATCTGGGTACTTGTTCAAATTTCTGGGAGGTTCCATTTCTTGGTGTTCCAAGAAGCAACCTGTTATGGCGTTGTCAACCTGTGAAGCTGAATACATTGCAGGTGCTGTTACTGCATGCCAAGCTGTGTGAATTCTGAATCTGTTGCAGGATCTGAAGATTAAAGTAGACAAACCTCTGAAGTTGATGATTGACAACAAGTCTGCAATCAATCTTGCCAGAAACCCAGTGTTGCATGGGAGAAGCAAGCATATTGAGACCAAGTATCATTTTCTGAGACATCAAGTTCAGAGTGGAGTGTTAGAAGTTGTACACTGCAGCACTCAGAAGCAGTTGGCAGATGTTCTGACGAAAGCTATCAAGACTGATCAATTTCTCAGACTAAGGGATGGAATTGGTGTTACAAGTTTTGATGGAATATGAATTAAGGGATGGTATTAGTAATAATTCATATTTTATTATATTACTTTTTTAAGCCCATAAGTTTGTTAGAGGGTATTTTAGTATTTATCTTATTCTAGTAACCCTAGTTTTAGCTTATAAATAGGGTGACAATCATTGTAACCAAATATTATGTTTTTCTGCCGTCATTCTTAATAGAATATTTCCCTATTTCATCATTTATTCTATCTTTGCACCAACAATTCTAACATGAATTTTAATCATTAAAACTCCAAGAATTTGGCTTCATAGTTTTCTTGATAATTATATTAGGTTTACAAGAATACATGCATGAAAGATGAAAGAGAAAGAAAAGATCATGCAATAATAACATCCATACCTTAGAAACTTGTTTAACGATGGCTGATGGATCAAAACCACCAAAAGCATTGATGAGTTTCCCAAAGATAAGAGTCATGAGAGGCTGAGACAAACCATTAGCCACGGCAGCGATAGTGCCAATGATCATCAGTGTTACATCAAGACGATCCGCGAAATTGAAGAGCTTATAAAATGGAAGTTTTTGGTTGGTTTTGGTTTCTCTGATTTCATGGTTTTGTGTTGGTGTTGATGATAGTGGTGAAGAATTATCATGTACCTCAGTGGTGCGTGCCATCACTGTTGATTTTTGTTTTCATTCAAAATATTAACTCAGCTGAAACCTATGCATGCATCTATATATATATATATATATATTTGGTATCGTAGGAATAGGAAATTCTGTTAAAAATTTAAAATATGACTTACGGGTTATTCTATTGAGTTAATATTATTTTCATACGCATACCCTTCCGTTACCATTTCCGCATATGATTTCTTGTTCCCCCTTCAGTTACCATTTCCGCATATGATTTCTTGTTTCCCCCTTCAAATCTCTTTGTTGTAATAAAGGTTAGGTTATCAATTTTCATTTTATTATCTTCCTTGTATTTTTGTTCATTCTTGCTATCATCCATACTCCTCTGAAATCTTGGTATGTTTGCAAAGATCTACATGTTGATAATAATGTTATCCAGTTTCACTGTCAAGACTCTTTCATCATTGACATTGAAAAATCTTGCAAAACCATCATTGACATTGAAAAATTGTGCAAAACCATATCGCCTTTTGTTTTATCACGCTTAATAGGTATCACCACTTCATCAATATTATCATAACCATTAAAGATCTCATACATTTCCTTATCCCCGTGTGTATCCGAAAACATTGTAAAGAAATAACTAAACCGTTTTCCTGTTGATTCTTGCCCCTATTCTTGTTAATATTCGTGTCCCATTTGCCTTTGATGGATCTCATTGGCTTCCATTCCCTCCTGTTTACATGTTTCCATCCATTATGATTCTCTGCACCTGAAAAAGACACCATAGTTGTTGATTCTGAAGGCAATATAGTGAGAGGTAGGGTATACTATTCTATAGATAGGGGAGATATTCTCTCTCTAATTGTTTTTCTATGTACTTTATCTATTGTTTGGAAGAAGAAAAAATGATTAAACACATTTTTTATTGCAAATTGAAAATTTCACGTAAAATAAACATAAGAAAACAAATCACAAACAAATTTTTTATTAACAAATTGAAAATTTCACATAGTATAAAATTTAAAAAAACAAATCACGAATCAAGAAACCACCCACAACACTAATTAAGAAATCTTGTTATTTCTATTCACTTTATTTAGGATTTCCAAATCCACACCATTAATACAAGAGATTAATACGTAAAGAAACTTGTTATTTAATATGAACATTTGTTTATCAAAACACACAGTAGTGACGATTTTTCAATCACATCATCTCTAGATTTAGTAAAATACACCGGGTATTGTAAATGAAATCGGTATATATTCTTGCTTCATAGTTTGTAAAGTTAAATTTTGTACTAATAAGTATTGGTCATATGTGAAATTGGAAAATTTTCATGGAAGAGTGTTTAGAAAATGAGGCACGCATTAACAAAAACATGTAGAATATAGTCGGCCGGCATTGCAGTAAGAACAAGATATGATATTGACAGTTAATAAAAGGTATAAGTATAAACAAGTACTTAAGAAATTAACATTCCAAATAGTATAGCATTCAAGAGTATTTGAAAAACTGAAAAATTCTTACTCTATCAAGTACCACCATAAATATTCTGATGAATCACTAGTCACATTGACTTGCTCCAAACATGCATATACTATAATCGAATCATCAAACTTTTTTTAAGACAGAAGCTCCATCGAGGTCGAAGCAAGTATGTACCGGCTGTTTTCCTTGGATGTGGTATCCGGGTCATCTCGGCAGCTTTACCATAGGTGGTACTTTCATTATACTAAGACATAATTAGTAGGAGGTTGCTTTGAGCACAGCTCCATCTTTTAGAGCTACATACTCGCTTAATGTAGGTTGTTTGATGTTGAAAGGACACAAGGTTTTCTTTGCTTTCATATTGTTTTTAAGGGATTGAAGTAAACAACTTCCTGTATCCTTTCCTCCATGCTCTATTTGTTTTGTTCCTCTTCCCATGATGCAAACCAACAAACAAGAAACATAAGTAGAAACAAAAATACATTCGACTCACAAAGAAAACAACAATGGTGACAATTCACCAGACCCAACACCGGCAAAAGGGTATTTGAAACTCTGCCTCTTAACTACCAAAAGCTTTGGTATACACATGCTTGCTTTGGCATTCTCATACTTAGTGGTTTTTTCAAGCTTCAACTCATTAATAGCACATGTTCTACTTTTCTTGAATTCATCTACCTAGCACAGATATTTCATATTAAAAATGTGTCTATACATGCAATCCACACCCACTTCTACCACAACCAACTCATAACATGTAATCCACCCAACAAAAACATCATACACTAACACCCCTCATTCATACCCAAACATGCAACCGCCTTCGCGTCATTCGTATTTATCCACAATTTCTAAAAAAACCAACTCTTAAACCCAACTACTTCCAAATACCTCAAAAATACTTTATATTTAGTTGATTTCAACAATTCCACCTCCAAACTTCATCATTGAAAATCCTCAATCCTCCTCAAATCTGTCATTTTCTCAATTTCTAACCTCAAGTGCATTCTTCAAATCTCTCAATTTCTCAACTTCTAAAATCAAATGCATTTTCATAAAGAGATTTCTACTATTCAAAATTAAAACATAAAATTACCACCAACACAACCACATTTAATTTTTACGGCCCATCAATTATCATATCTATATATTTTATAGACTTATGAACAAAAACCATTTTAATTTTTGTTTTTAAAATTTATAATCACATTTTTCTCCATTTTTTACACTATTTGAAATATATTTATAAATAATTTTCACAAAAAAATGTAATTATATTAAAAGTTAATAAAATAATTTTTTTAATGTGTTTTATTTTTAATCATCAGAATAAAATTAAGATATCTAATAAATTACTTGGTTAAATAAATTTTAAAAAAATTAATTCAATATTTTTTTTACTTAAAGCTACTGATTTTATTAGTTTTTTATTTTATTATTATTTTATTTTATTATTATTTTATTTTATTATATTATTATTTTATTAATTAATTAAATAGTTTTAATGTATATAAATAAAAATTAAAAAAACTCTAATGGAAAATGGTTGGAGGGATGTTCTTGCAATAGTTTTTGGCATCTTGTGTTCTAAATTAGAATGTGGGAAAGTTTGAGAAAAAAAATTGAAAAAAAATATATTTTTTTTACTCAGATTGATTTCATGTCTCACATAAAAAATAATTAGTACAATGATTATATTTTAATGTGCAAATAATTGATAGGATAAAAACAGTCTCTAATTTATTATTATTAAATAAAAAATTAAATTATATCATCAAATTTTCTAATTTAAAGGGTATATAAATTTCTAATTCTCTACTCATTTAACCTGTTAAAAATGGAAAAAATTATAAAATATTTAAATTAAGTATGATTTTATAAGTAAAATTAAAAACACAACACAATAGAGTATAAAAAAAAAAACTAAATAGTGTTTTTGGATTTTTACACAATCATAATTAGGTGATTGAGAATCATAACAGAAATTGATTAGATAGACTTAAACAAAATTTTAAACATACATACATATTTAAAGTTTATTTAAATATTCAAAATTACATTTTTTTTAAATCACTATCTATTGATTTTGATTAAAAGGTTTACAATGTATAAAGAAACTATAGAATTTTAAATTGCATTCAAACTCATAGAAGTAAAAAGTTGTAAAATTGAGAAAAACAAATTCGTTCGTATAGAATAAGACTACAGGTAAAATGTAAAATAATGTCTTGTGTTAATTTAGATAATTTAATTTTGTCTAGTTAATTAATGGGATTTTTTTTTTAAACTAGCAATGTATTATTTTTTATTTACCAAATAAATTAGTGTTTCAAAATTATTACCAAAATTGCAATGTTTCACATAACACTAACGTGCGGTCGCCGACCCAATTGGCCAAATTGGGCTTCAAACAATTCGCCAAACCAATTGGCGACAGGGGCTTTCTGTGGGATTTCGCCACACCAATTGGCGAATGGGTTGTATTTTTAGGGTTTCGGTTTTCATTCTTTTTTGATTTTAATTATTATTAGTATTAACCATAAAATATATAAATTTATAATCTAATTAATATTTATATAATTAATGTTAATATTAATTTATAATATAATTTATAATGTCATTTATAATATTAAAAAAATTAAGTTTAAAAGGTTAAATTATTTTATGAAATTATAAATTTAAAATAAATTGGTTTGCTTGCTAAATCGCCCAGCTTGGGTTTTAAACTTTACTTATATATTTTTGGGGTGACATTTATTAATGAATGTATAGTCACCCCAGTGGTAATCATTTTGTCGCATTTCACCTTGCTAGCCTGGGTTCGATATCGTAGACGCTCTGTTTTTCCATTTGTTTTTTTTCCAGCATCGGAGGAACCTTTTCGTGATATCGTAGACGCTCTGTTTTTCCAGCATTTTTTCACTTGTTTTTTTTCCAGCATCGGAGGAACTTTTTCGTGATATCGGAGGAACTTTTTTCACTTGTTGTTATGTTTGTTTCCAGCATCGGAGGAACCTTTTCGTGATATCGTAGACGCTCTGTTTTTCCAGCTAGGAACTTTTTTCACTTGTTGTTATGTTTGTTTCCAGCATCGGAGGAACCTTTTCGTGATATCGTAGACGCTCTGTTTTTCCAGCATTTTTTCACTTGTTTTTTTTCCAGCATCGGAGGAACTTTTTCGTGATATCGGAGGAACTTTTTTCACTTGTTGTTATGTTTGTTTCCAGCATCGGAGGAACCTTTTCGTGATATCGTAGACGCTCTGTTTTTCCAGCTAGGAACTTTTTTCACTTGTTGTTATGTTTGTTTCCAGCATCGGAGGAACCTTTTCGTGATATCGTAGACGCTCTGTTTTTCCAGCATTTTTTCACTTGTTTTTTTTCCAGCATCGGAGGAACTTTTTCGTGATATCGGAGGAACTTTTTTCACTTGTTGTTATGTTTGTTTAATTTATGAAAGTTAACTCTGCTTGTAATAGAAGGAAATTTGCAGTTACCTCTGCTTGTAATAGCATGAAATTTGATTTTAATCGAATTAAATTTACT